TTCCTATTTCAGTTGGATTACATCAAGGACCAATTTTAAGCCCATATTTTTTTGCTTTAGTCATGGATGTTCTTACTAGACATTTTCAGAAGAATGTTCCCTGGTGTATCTTCATGTTGATAAGACTAAAGAGCGAGTTGAAGGAAAACTTGAATTATGGAGGCCAGCCTTAAAGTTTAAAGGTTTCCATTCGAGTAGATCTAAAGTCGAATACATGGAGTATAATTTTAGTAGTAATAGATCTAGTGGGGAGATTGCTACTTTGGGTAATCAAGTCATTAATAAGAGTACACTTTTTAGATATCTTGAGGTTATTATTCAAAATGATGGTAAAATAGATGAGAATATTATTAGTAGAATTCAAGTTGGATGGTTGAAGTGGAGGAATGCATTATGCCTGTTGTGTGATAGAAAAATATCGCTCAAACTTAAGGGAAAATTCTTTAAGATGACAGTTAGACTTGCAATGCTTTATGGCACAGAATTTTGGCTATTAAAAGAGAAACCATAAAGTTAAGTATTGCAGAGATGAGGATGCTCAGGTGGATAAGTAACTTCACTCTTAAGAGAGAAAATGTGAAATGAGTATTTACATGAAAAGATTGGAGTAGCTCTAGTGAAAGATAAGATTAGATTGAGTCATCTTAGATGGTTTGAGCACATAAATTGTCGGCCTTCCAATGATCTGGTTAGGAGAGTGATGTATTGGATTTGACCTGTGTTAAGAAAGGTAGAGATAGAACTAAAAAAATTTGGTTGGAAAATATTAGAAATGATCTTTTTTTAATTAAATTTACATGAGAATTTAACTCTTAACATGACACAATAGAGAAAAATGATTTATGTAGTCGACCCCACGTAGTTGATAAAGGTTTGATATTGTTGTATAAAAGATATCTTCCCTTATTTTACTTTCTGATGCTTATATATATATATATATATAACAATCAATTAATTGATCAAATCAAGTTAAATAACAAGATATTTTAAATAAGTTTGACGCCAACAATATAATATATTTCTATATAATCTAATTCTTTTTTCTCTAGGTTTTCTTTTAAGATATAGCTAAATAAGTCACAAGAAAGGTTGTGAGTTTTCATGTCTTTGAAGTTTTTAGATCAAGGGAAAGTGAGTCACATATTTCAATGAGACAAGTTTGACAAAAAAAAAAAAAAAAAAGACTAGAGTTCTAGATTTTATAAGTTTATACTTGTTGTCCTTATTTTCTGCAGGGTGAGGTCTTAATATTCATCATTGTTCATAATTCAATATTTGATTTAAAATTTCACATTGAGTAATTTGGAAATTAAAATTGTACGCCCCAGCCTTCTCGGCAACTCCTAAATAGAATGGTTAACTCAAACTTCAAATGAAGTTAATTCTAAACATCTAATATAAGACATGCAATAAACATTCATAGGGATTTAATCACCATCCTATTTAATTAGGTTGACTTAAATTCATCACGCTCATTAAAAATTAAACCTCATTCAAGCCTTCCCAAGGGTTTTAGCTCCAACCTATAGTTAGGCACCTTACCTATAGGACAAAGTTCTAAGACCCACTTTTAGCCTTTCGTTACACTTGATAATTTCCACCTTCTTATAGATGTGGGCCCCAACCTAATTGTCTAGAGAAACTCCTATGCTAGTTAACCTATTAAATCAATTAACTCGTTTTAGACATGCTTCTTGAAGTGAAATAGAAGTTCATTAATAATTGATGATCATGTCAAATCTTTGACCTTGTTGATTGTGTAGAATACCTGTAAATCATAACTAATTGTGTTAGATGCCTTTAAATCATTCATTAAAGTAGCTATATCTATAGTGAGCGATTCGAAGTCGTTTTAGACATGCTTCTTGAAGTGAAATAGAAGTTCATTAATAATTGATGATCATGTCAAATCTTTGACCTTGTTGACCGTGTAGAATACCAGTAAACATAACTAATTGTGTTAGATGCCTTTAAATCATTCATTAAAGTAGCTATATCTATAGTGAGCGATTCGAAGTCGACTTCAAAAGCATGCCCCCATCACATACATGTCCACTCATATTTTCTTAAGATACCTAAGAGAGTATAAACTTTGGATGATAGAACTATATGATCTTGATTGAGTTTACCTCCATCTCAAACCATTTTCATTGATTAAATTCTAACCACATTTTCAAATTTGAGTCTATCATGGTGTTTAAGCGATATCCTTAATCAAGAGTGTTCTCTTGTGAGTGGGAGTAAGAATTAATTTAGGGTTTTGCATCTAGAGAAAGTCTCTACTCCAAAATTAAATAAACTTTGATTTAATATCATGGGAAAAACAAGTTTAATCTTTCTCAGGAAAATATGCTAATGAGTCCTGAGTAGGGGTGTCAATTATTAACATGACCTGAAAACTTAACCCAAACCCTTCTCGAAAAAGCTAGTTTCAGATCGACTTGTTTAACATGCGGGTTTGGTTTGGGTCTTAATTCCCAGCCGGTTTGAAAAATCAGGGCGTGTTTGAGTCCACACGCAAACCCGAAAACCACCTGAATTTGACCAGTGACCCGCAACCCGTAGTCCCACGCCGCGTCACGCTCGCTTGCCTCGCACCCGTGCTTTCCCCCTCACCCGCACCCATGCTCACGGCTTAGCCCTCACCATGAGGCCAACTCTCGACTCTCACTTGCTTGGGCTAGCAAGTTGGGTTGGCTCAACCTGTGTTAGGCTGGGTCGGGTCCGAGTTTGAATTTATGACCCTTGTCTAATCGGGTCGAGTTCAGGTTGGATCGAGTGAAGGCTAGTCAGTTTTGAGTTGGAACCGAATCGACCTGAAAACTCATTTTGACACCCCTAATACCAAATTCTTGTCGCACTAAGGAAGCTCAAGGGAGGGCCACTTTTCGTGAGCGATCATATATTATTATATACTTCTCCATCTGAACTATATAATCCTTGCGAACCTCAATCAAGCGTCACCTCATCGTTCGTAACTGCAACATCTTCAAGCCTCCATGCTTGCTATCCCTACTGCTTGTTTCCATTGCCCGCTGATGCCCTCATCACAAGAAGTCATCACAATAAGGAGAGCTCTCTCAGTTGCCTTCCTCGTGCATCAACATAAATAGAAAAGTTATATTATCATATCCAAGAAAAATATCTTCTATATCAGAAATCGTTGAACTACATGGTTCTCTAACTAGAACTCCCAAATCTTTAGTGGGTGAGTACCAAAACTTTCAAGCTTCATTCTGATTGAATTGAATAAATTATCTTGTTTGGTTCCAAATTATAAAAAATTTTCTTGAAGGAAAATAAAAGCCATGCCATCTTATTGGAGAAACCTGTGGACCTCCGAAAGGACACCGCCGGCTGCAGCAGAGTGCAGAGGGTATACGACCGCAAAACCCCGATCGCAGGCCTCCGCGCTCCTCGCAAACGGGCCAATAGAAGGGCAGATTGGATCGTACATACGACTAACCATTGAGGATAGCGGGACATTATATCAAGAGAAAATGATCTTGATTTTGTTGTGTGAGACGAAAAAACTCCTCAATCATGTCATGGTTATGAAATTCGATGATACCAAATGTCACTAGAACCTATATATACCAGTACAATAAAAGATAGCTCAGATTTGATGAATCAAACATGCTCAAACGTTTCGTGATACCATCTTAGTTTACGAAATTAAGAAAAAAAGTTCACACCACCAATCGAGGTGCTCTTTTAATTGCAAAGTATTATAAAAAATGAAAGATTTTTTGCTCAAACTCAATTTCTATCAGTTTATCAAATTAAGGTGCAGTAAAGATACTGCTATGCTTCAAATTCTTGTAGGAGAAATAATTAATGAATCACTGGCTGGACTGAATGTTGAATAGGATTAATCATGCATGAATTTGGAAAGGTTTCTCTTAAACCTAAACGAAGTTTTTTTCACTATTAGAAGTGGAATAGATCTCGTTTGGTACGAGATGAAAAAAAAAAAAGAAAAAGAAGTGGAATAGGGAGACGAGGTGTTGTGCTAAAGATGATCCGGTGCATCAATCTCATGGTGCATAGGCTGCCTTAGTGCAATATTGCTCCATTTTTTGTTTAGGTAGAAAATTGTTTTGGTAAGTTAAAAGCTTTAAACTGATTTATATTCCGACTCCTTGTGATCCTTAAAATTATACAACGGAACGATTATTCTATTTTTTGCATTACTGGCCGCTGTATGGTTTCTGCTGTGAGCTTTAAATCAAAATAAAGCTTGGGCTGTTTTGAGAGAAAAAGAGAACAATTTAGATTAATCATCATGCATTCTGATTCAAGCTACAGCTAATAGGACTGGTTTTATGCCTTTTCTTTTTTATCCTTGTTGGTTACAGGTATAGCCTTGTTATATTCCTTTAAAACATATTTAGGTACTTGACAAATATGTTTATTTATGCTTAAACCATCTAATATTTTATTTCATTTCGGAGCTTGATGTTGTTGTTGGACAATGGTGAAAAAGGACACAATGGAGAAAAATGATTCATGTAGCCGACCCCACGTAGTGGGACAAAGGCTTGATGTTGTTGTTGTTGTTTTTCGGAGCTTGTTAGCTATTATATCCGTGTTCACAAATCGCTGTGAAAAATGCAAATGGCAGACTTTACTGTTATATCCAGTAAGGGCACTTGTTGATACAGAACTTGCCTTAAAAATGTTATTTTTTTCGATCGCATTATATCCAGTAAGGGCAGTTGTGGATACAGAACACGCCTTAAAAATGATATTTTTTTCAATCACATTACCCTTGAAAATAAAATCATAGGTCTTGACAGATTTTTCATTTCTAATACATATAGAATCTAAGAACTCGTCTCCCAAAACATGTTTTATAACCTCAAGCCCAATGAGCTCTAAGGAGGATTTAGCATAAATCTGTTTGTGTTTTACTAGCGTGAAGTTAACAACATTTTAACGGCCTTGAACCTGTCTCTCTGTTGATTTTGGACCTCACCGCACGCATTTTGATTGAACAGATTCTGTAGAAACCTTGATGGCTGAAACCCATGAGCTTGATGGTTCAACAGTCGCAGTTGATCGTGCCACCCCAAAGGTTTGTGCTGAATGTCTTTAATTTCACCTAATGTCTTTAATTTCACCTTTTAGTTTATGAGAATGCTCTTTTTGATGTTGACTGTCACACTTGAAATAGCCTGGGCTTATAACTGCTATTACTTCAGGAGGAGCATCCAAAATATCCAAGTCGACCGGCACAGGGTGGATATGGCGCTTATAATGCTTATATTAGTGCTGCAACTCGCTATGCGGCTCTTGGTGCTCCGACATTGTATGACCACCCCAATCCTTATGGAAGTAAGTTGTAGCAATCTCTCTCCTTTTTCCTTTATATTACTGTAGCAAAACTTGCAGAAAGTTGAATTCATTCATGGTTACAAAAAATAATTTGCATTTATTATGTTTTGGGAGGAGGGTTGCATGAAAGTCCTCGGGGAATGGGCAAAAAAATATTCGTTGGCAGACTTCCGCAAGAAGCAAGTTCTGATGATCTTCGCCAATACTTTGGAAGATTTGGTCGTATCTTGGATGTTTATGTTCCTAAGGTAAATAAATATGAGTCAAGAGGGTGGTTTTCTAAGATGCTTGCTTATATGATTTAATGCGATTATGCAGGATCCAAAAAGAACTGGTCATAGAGGCTTTGGTTTTGTTACATTTGCCGATGATGGTGTAGCTGATCGCGTTTCGCGGAGAACTCATGAAATCCTTGGACAAGAGGTACTTTTTATTACATTGTTTGGCTAAAGTTTATATTAAAGTTATTAATGTTTAAGTTACTAGCGTGCAACTTTTGCAGATTTTGACGTTGGATTATGGTGTGAAATTGAATGAATGAAATTAAGTACCAGTTGTTTAGTAAATAATAATATTGACACGATTCAAAAACCTGACCCGAAAATTTCGAGTTCGGGTTGACCGAACCCGAACTGGGCTGGGTTCAGATTAGGGTTTTTGACTCGTTTCAAAAATCGGGTCGGGTTCGTGTTGACCCGAAAATGACCCGGAATGGTCCTAGAAAAAGGCGTATGCCCGTGTAGCCTTCCCCACTACCCGAGTAGCTTGACCCTCGCCCGTTGCGTCAGGTGTCTGCCCGCGAAGCCGCTGCCGCTATCCGCTACACGTTTGTTGTGCGTCGCCGTTGTCGGTTGTCGCTGAACCGCGATGTCGCTTCGCATTGCCTGCCGTTGTCGCGCGTTGCATCGCGTCTACTCGCTGCCACTTTAGGCCGCCAGAGTTACACGATTTTTATTGATGTCAAATCCAAAGCATAGTTATGGGATTTGACTTATGAGTTGGGTCGGGTTGACCCAAACCCGAAGAAGTGGGTTGGGTTCGGGTTTGACAAATTGGCCCGTTTGCAAAAAATGGGTTGGATTCGGGTTGACCCAAATAGTGTCGGGTCAGTTCCTGGTTATACCCGAACCCGATCCATGACCCGAAATTGACACCCCTAAACAATTCTTAAATGGTGCTGTAGCTGCAAATTTTTTCAGCGCATTTGATGGTTCAGGGAAATAGAATACGGAGGAAAAGCCTTCCTCTATGTCTTTAATGTTTCGCCATTTAACGCATGTTTGTGATAGAATGCATATGATCCTGAATGTTATTCATTATTCCTACCTTGTTTGAACTGAAACGATATTCGAAAATACTATAAGCACGCTGTTGGAAAATAAGATTCCATATTTTAAACACTCAAGACCACGTAGCTTGAATGATAAACTTGATTTCAGGGCCGAGGATAAGAAAGTTTTATGCCTAATCTTAATTGTTAACTCAAAATTTGGTAGATTTAGAATGCCATCTATTCACAATTACCCACATTTCTCTTCCCGAGTCATTATTAACCATTGCTTTGTCTGCAGGTGGCAATAGACTCCGCAACCCCACTTGATGATGTTGGTGCTAGTGCCGGCTTCATTGACCCAACTGCGGCCTATGGTGGTTATGGCCCTATACGCTCTTATGGCCGACTTTATGGGAGCCTGGATTTTGATGATGTAAGTATGCTAAGGCCTAGTTTGATTGGGCGTTTTTTGTGCTCATTCATTTTTAAAACGGTAAAGTTATTTCTTCTTTACTGTTTGGTTCATCAAACTGCGTTCTCAATAACACCATTTTTTTTCATTTTTCTGCTGTCTTGATAAAGCTTTTTATGTGTTTTCTCCGTTAGAAAACTCTTTTTTTCGAACCAATGTTTCTTAAACCTGTCTTTTACAAAAGTACCGAATAACCAAACGAAGCCTAATTGTAGCAGAGTTAGGTTCCCAATATTTATGGTTATTATCATGGAGGCTTAAAAAATAGTTATAAGCAAATACTCTCCATATAATTTGATTGAATATAACCAATAATTCTATTCATCTACACCTCTCTTGCAGTATGGTTATGGAGCAAGTGGAGGCCACAGGTCTGCAAGGATGGATTGGAGGTACAGGCCATACTAAGAATTCTGAGCCATTTCAGTCAAATTTTCTTGCAGGCCACTTTAATGGCGAACAATGGCTTCTCTTGGTTCATTTGGAGTTACAATTAATATTACTTTTTTTCTATTATTTAGGTAAGATTGTAGAACATGTAATATTCTATAGTGCTGCCTACGCTTCAGAATTTATTGTAACTTAACTGGTTTTCATTTCCTTCTGCTGCAAGTAAATGCTGAGGATTTTATGTTTTATGTGAACGTTTGAAGCATTGAAAATATTAATCTGAGCTAATGAAAACCATGAAAGGGCTACATTTGTACTGTCTTATGGTTAGTTGGTGTGTAGATTCTTACCGATTGATATAGGTTTTGTTTGGGATGATTTTTTTTTTATTATTTTGTTTTTTAAATTATTATTATGTTTATTTGGTTATTCAAATATTTTTGTATTAAAAAGTTATTTTTGCAATAATTTTAATAAGTTATTTTTTTCTCTAATAGTTTTGAGACGCAAAATAACAAAACCATCCCAAATAAAGTAAGTCTTAAGTTTGACTTAGTGAAATAAATATGTTCTCTTTTCTGCTCTTTAAAACTCTTTGGTCAGGGTTCAAAAAATATTACTTTTAAAAAACAATTTTTAATACAAGTTTGAAAAAGTTATGAAAAAATTATTTCAAAGTTTATTATTTTTGTTAGTTATTTTTCTTAAAAGAAATCAGAAGTTATTTCAAATAATGTTTTAAGTATCATTTGGAATGAATTTTTATTATTTTTTCAAGCAACTATTTAGTATATTTATATATTTAAAACAGAAAAAAAAAAATAGCGGCTAAAAACTATCCATTAGAAAGGAAATTTTAATCAAGCTTGAAGCTCCTGTTCCAGTAAAAATGGCACTCTAAAAATTGGTGTAGACAAATGTTTTGTCATAAATAACGCCATGTTTGCAACGTTTTATCTTGCAAAACAAAATATTTTCCTTGTGAAAATCTGTTTGGAGTGTCATTTTTCTCAAAATTAAGGCCTCGTTTAATTAGGCTTTTTTTCTCCGTTGTAGTTTGAATACGCCAAAATCAATTAGTATTTATTGTTTGGAATCAAAGATTAACAATAATTCTTTTTTAATAAACATCATTTTTTGGGCGGTTACAAATTTTTTTTCGTATCTGCTTCTTCAATCACAAAACGGAGTTTCGAAAGCGAATTATGTCTTTTATTATAAAATCTTAAAAGCATAACTCCTAAACAAACAATTTAAAATTACTTTCAAGTATTAATAAGCACTTTTAAAAATATTAGTCAAACATATCTCATTATTGAAACTCCATTTTATTGAACGGTTTTTTCTCAACCTCCTTTTCTAAAACTCTTTTTTACGTAAGCATAAACCGAATCAAACGAAGCGTAAGACTTTGTTAGAGACAACCTTTATATATATTTTTTAAAACAGTTTTTAAGTATAAAAATTATATTTTTTTTATTAAAAAATTACTTTAGAGAGTCGTCTTAGATGGTTTGGTCACATAAAACGGCGGCCTTCTAATGACCCGGCTGAGTAGATGTATTAGATTGGACTTATTTTAAGAAATGTAGAGGCAGACCTAAAAAGACCTGGTTAGAAAATATTAGGAATGAACTTTCTTTATTAGATTTAAATGAGAATTTGATCTTTAATAGGACACCATGAAGAAAAAGGATTCATGTAGTCCCACGTAGTGGGATAAAGACTTGATGTTGTTGTTGTTGTTGTATTAAAAATTTACTTTAAGAAACAATAAAAACAAATTATCTCAAATGAAGCTTAAATATCCATGCATGTAAAGATTTAGACTAAACTCTAAAGCAAATAAAAATCCTAAACTTTATGAAAGTCTCAATAAAATAAATAAAAGCCAATTTTTGTCCAATCATACCAAAGAACTAATAGACAAAAAAGCAGGGATTAGATTGGTACCAAGCACTTATTGCGTTGGATGGGTTAAGTTAATTTATGCTCTTTGAGAACCAATAGAAGATGGAAGAAATAACGGTCAAAACCGTCCTTGTAACCGACACATGTGTCCAACCAACCAAGTTGTGATATCTAAATTCGTATTCACATGGACCTCTAATAAATGCTGCAACCCAATTCAGTGTATTTGCCCATTGTTTTCTCCAATCAGCCTTTGGCTTTGTAAAGACTAATGAAGAGGTAAAAAAAGAGAAAGGGGGAATAGAAAATTGGAGGGGTGGCGCAGAGATGCTGTGGGGTCTTACAAAGGAGCTTTTATTATGTACCGACACCGGATGAGAGAACCGTCCGGTTAAGCACTGAGTACCCAGCGGTATCGAGTATGGGTAATGTACTGGATACCCACCAAGAAGGTGACGTGGTGCATTTTTGTTGGTCTCCGGATACCCTCCGCACCCCAGACAGAATAATAAATCCGGGAGGAGAAGAAAGAAGAAATTTTGCAGAAGACGACAATAATGGTGGGATTAAATCTTGTCATCCTCTCTTGTTTTATTAGCTAGTAAGGATGTGTAGAGTCCAATAGCACAAACCTTATCGTATCTCTTCTTTCGATACTCTGTAGCTATTGCTGCGATTCTTCTATGTATTAAGTTCAAATTTGGGGGTTCAGAGTTCGTCAGCGACAAAGTTAGTTCATAGAACGTTAAACAAAATGTTCAAATATACAAAATTTGGCCGAATTCAGGATGAACAATATAGGTTCGTTTGGGACGGCTTTTTTTTGCTTCTTAAAATAATTTTTTAGTACAAAAGTTAAAGCTTTTGTACTAAAAAGCTGTTTTAATAAGAAATAAAAAAGCTGTCCCAAATGAAATCTTAAACTTTATTTGGGACAATTTTTTTACTACTTTATAAAGCAGTTTTCTAGTATAAAATTTTCTTTGTAAAAAAATTTTTTAACTATGAAGCTACTTTATAAAACAATATGAAAGTTGTTCCAAACGAAGCCTTAGTTATTAAAACATAGCTTAAAATTATAAAGAATTGGAACTTGAAGATTTGTTTTTATAGAGCATTGCAGCATTTGCTAAAGCAATTAATAAAAAAAATAGGTATGTGGGGCTTAATTTCTTTGGTGTATTAATGAAAATGAGGAAGAATGTTATATAATTTTCCTTGTGGAGAATTTTTATTTGTTCATCTGATTAAAAAATGTGATCAGGCATGAATTTAAATATAAATATTCTTGAAGGAGTGTAGAGTTTTTCTTATTTATACTCTTTCGTGGAGATGGAAGAAGGTGCTCAGCAAATTTATTCTATGCGGTCTTGTAATTAATATAGAGATGGTGCATGTGGTGGTAGGAATTTGTCTTATTTATAGTAAAGTATTTTGTTATGCATTAGTATAATAATTCTGATAGCGATTTCAACCGTCTAAATTATTTAAAAAACAATATAATTTAGAGTTATAGAGCAAATATTAAAAATATAAATACACTTTATTTGACCCTAAATTAAATGTTACTCATTATTTTTTTTTCTCAAAATATTATTATTGTCAGGTCCCAAATTTTGGATGAGAAAAATAAAGGGTTGAGTTAGGTAGTCAACAACTATCATAAAATTTGTCAAACCATCATGACATCAATTTAATTTGATTTTTTTTTTTTATAAAATAAACTACTATCTTTTAATCTATTAAGAGTTCGTTTGGGACAGCTTTCTTACTCGTTCTTAAAATTGCTTCTGAATTTTTGTACTAAAAAGATGCTTTAAAAAGTAGTAAAAAATTCGTCCCAAACGAGGCTTCTTTTGGGACGGCTTTTTTATTGTTTTTTAAAGCAGCTTCATAGTATAAAAATTTAAATTTTTTAACTATTTAAGAAGGTATTTTAAAAAGCAGTAAAAAAGCCGTCCCAAACGAAACCTTAACGTCTCAAGTATTTCTCACTTGTACCATTCACAATGAAAGAATTTATGAAGATAATTCATATATAATCATAAATATTTGATATAATACTAACGACGACGACAATGATGTCAATATATTGCAAATAACATAACATCAAACAATAATAATAGTACTAATTAACAAGAACATTATAATTTAGGCTTCATTTAGGACGGTTTTTTTATTGTTTTTTTTTGTACTAAAATTTTGTTTTAAGAAGTAATAAATAAACTGTGGATAAAAACATCAGCAATGACATATAATTTAACAATGATTTATGCGCATTAACAGCAATAAAATAAATTGTGCAGCCACATGCATGCATGTATGTATGTACATGTATTTTAAAGTCTAAATGGTAAAATAAGAAGGGAGAGTGCGAGAAGATGAGTAATGGCAGTTGATGTTATAATGGTGGGAGCATGAGACATGGATGAAGGACGGTCCTGGAATACTATAAGAGTGTCAGATTTGGTCTCTGTTCCTTTATATTTTAGCTCATTAATGGCGAAGAGAAGATTTGGTGGACCACCAACCGCTCACTGCACATGCATCATCATCATCTCCTGGTTTTGTTCATTTAGCACATGATTGCTTCAATGCATGGCAGATCGATGAGGGGTTTACTTTACTCTTTAGTTTTATCTTTTTTCTCTCTCTCTATCTCTATTTGAGTTATCCATACTCTTAACTGTTGCAGAATTGTAGCAGTTTTAACCTGATCTATTCATCTTGAGTTCTTTCTAGATAGGATCTCAGGCTCATCGGTTTTACTTCAATTGCTGCATCTTTAGAGAGCTTCTGATCCTCTAAGGACTTATAACCATTTTATTATGAAACACGTAGGCCCCTTTGTGAGTTAAAAAGATATAGCAGTTTTAACCTGATCTATAGAATTGTACATGTTTTAACCATTGCTATTGTCCAGATTTGAAGCATTTTACAAACCGTTACAAAAGTCTCTCATCGCGAATACAAATGTATTTGATTTGCAGTTATCATAAACCTTTGTAATGATTTTTGTCGCGTAATTTTAAACTGCTACAGTTAGTTAAAAAATCGTTAATAAAACCCTGTTTATTGATAGTGCTTGTTGTTAAACACCAATAATTTTGAAGAGTATGAATAACTCATATTAATTCATCATTGTTGCGAAATTATAGAGAAATGAAAAGGAAATTATGTAAGAATATCATAAGATATTTTGTACTATAATGAATTTCAAAAGTTTTGAATTTGTACTGAGATTAATGTTTCATACGTATCCAAGAGTTGCACTAATCTTCATACAAATCAAAAGATTTTGAAGCCCGATGTGATATAAATGGTAAGATTTTTATTTTTTTAATGTAATTTCTCTTAAGTAAAAGAGTATATGATATGTGTAAATTGCAAGAACAAGTCTGGTAAAATTGT